GAAATATAAGCCTACCTTCGGAACTATATTAATAGGGAGTAATCCGACTAGAATCGATAGCTCCCCGTAGTATAATTAGCGCTAAACGGGAGATATTAAGCGGGACTAGGGATAAGCCCCTTCTTCGCTACTTACGGCTACGAGGCGCTACCGCCCGTAGCGCTAGAGCCGGAGAACGACAATTCTCCGAAGCTAGCCGCCGTAAAACGAGCGACTTAATTCGTAGAAAAGATTAAGGAAATTACTACCTTGTCTTAAGCTAGTATAGCGGATTCCGTATAGAAATAAAAGGAAGCCGTAAATAAGTTACGTAAACTAGTACTAGTCTATAAGGTCGGCGATAAAGTCTAGCTTAACTTAAGGAACTATAATATTAACCGGCTAAAGAGGAGTCTAGTAGAGAAATACATAAAATATACTATCTCCGAAGTATTATCGCTAGTATCCTTTAGGTTAACGGGGCTTCCTAAGAATATCTACCCCGTATTCTACCCGGATAAGCTAAGGCTAGTAAGTAGCGACCCTCTACCCGGGTAGGAGTCTAACGATAACTAGCCGGACCTAGTACTATTTAAGACTTATAATAAGTAGAAGGTAGAGCAAATTCTCTATACGAGGAACAAACCTTAAAATAGAGGAAAGGGGAGGGAAGTACTAATAAAATAGGCTAGATACTACGAGCCTACGTAGGAACCCTTAGAAAACTTATCGGATACTATAGCTTTAGACCTTTTTAAGACTTAATACGGCGACGTAGTAAAGAAGAATAGCTTTAAGAAAAAATAGAGGAAAGCGACGACTAAACGCCGGACTTAGGAAGGAATACTACGGGAATAAAAGGTAGAGTATAGGATTACTAGAGTTTAGAGCGATTTAGGGGACTCTAGCCGCTATTTAACGGCTCCTAAGGAACGGGTTACGGATATAAGCGTTATACGATTACTTTTAAGGACTTTTTATTAGAGATTATAGAACTTATAGGAGACCGACGAAAAAGAGAGGGGAACCGACGTTTTATAATAGTAATATTTTATTTCTTAGATATACTAGGAGAGACTTACGGACTCTAGGGTAATTCTTACGGAGCCCGACCGAAATACTACTTACTTAGGCTAAGCACGGCGCTTTCCTAGCTATAAGATAGGAACTAGACTATTAGGACTATTACGGTTAGTAATAGAAAAGTAGCGGAGAACGGGGTAAACTTACGTAAGAGAGGCCTATATAGCCTTAATATTAATAGTAATATTTAGAGTATTATATATATAACTAAAATTCGGTTAGCGACGAAAAAGGGCTAGAGAGCGGAGAACTTACGGAGGGAGTAGCATTTAGAGCTTTAGAATCTCTAAAGGCTTAATAACCTTAATAGCAATCTTAAGGTCCTTAAAGGTAATCTCGCTAAAACGCGCGTAAGCTAATAGAAAACGATTAGGAAGCGGATTATATCTTACGCTTCCTCCTTATCCTTAGCTCTAGTCTAGGTAGCGTATACGGTATAGTAAAGAGACAGGCTAAATCCTACGGTTAGCGAGGTAAAACGGTCGGAACCCGGGGTATATATATAAGGCCTTATAGGGTTAACGCTAGTCGGAGTATAACTTATAGGCTCGAGTACGGGAAGACTAAGATATTAGCGGAGAGCGTAGGAAAAGTATCGGAGTCCGAGGACTTACCTTCTAAGTAATATAATTAACACTAGAGTTAGCGTAGCTAATATAGTAGATATAGTTTAGCTTAAATATCTAAGGAAACCGGTTAAAAACTATCGGAGAGTAGGGGAAAGGGGGGGTATCTCCTAGGAGGAAGGGAAGGGGAGAAAGGGTAATAATACGTACGTTAGTAAAGGTATAGCTAACGAAAGAAAGAGGGGAGGGGGGGATCTACTATATATACGTAGCGGAGCGGTATAGTAAATAGCGAAGTAAGGCGGAGTAAGGTAGTAGTAAACAACTCTAATTATAAGTTAGCGGCGCTTTTTAGGCTAAGTCCGACGGTTCTAATACGGAGAGATAAAGTAAAGTAAGGGCAGAACGCGGGAAGGACGGGAAGCGTATATATACGTATACGGCTACTTAATTWTAAAGCAGAGAGCGGTAGTAAAGTAAGTAGCTAGAGCCTAAGAATTTTTTCCCGCGCTCTATACCGAAAAGGGAGAGGGGGAGAGAGGAGGGGGGTAATATAATAGGCGAAGCCCTAAGGCTAAAGTATAGGCGTAGCCTATATAGAACGCTTAGTATCCGCGCACTTTACGTCGGAATCCGCGGAAGATAGTTCTCTTCCCTATCGAACTTATTTAATTAAAACCTTACCTAAGCTCCTATATATACGTTACTCGCCCGTAATAAAGCGTATAGATAATAGCCCTCGAGGCTCTCGAATAGTAGACGTATTAAAGGAAGAATATAGTAATATTAGCGGTAAGCAGTTAACGTACTAACACGCTTATAACTAAGGGCGTTTATTACTATACTATAACTTAGATAAGCGATACGTCCGTAAGGGCGCGGATACTATAGATATATAGCTTATTAAGGCGGATAACCGTGCTAGTGCCCTTAAATAATACTACTAGCTATTCGCTATTAGAACGAAGGATAGATTAAGGCGTAGAATCGTCGTTATAATACTAGATAGTTTAACAATTTAAAAGCAATACGGAGCTCTTATAATTATAGACGCTACGTATTAAGTACTCGGCCTACCGTAGTTCCTTATTAACCTCGTAGTACGTAATAGTAACGGTTCGTTTCGGCCGGTTACTTATATAGTAATTAAGAGCTAGTATAGCGTAGTTATTATAGAAGGACTCCGCGCGTTACGATTATAGGCTAGTAATAACGAGAGCGGCTTAATATTATAGTAGACCGTTATAGACGACTTATCTAGTAAATAGAACGCTATCCGTATAGCCTTCGGCGATAACGTAAAGCTACTACTCTACTAATGACACGTTAGTTAAACGATACGTACTAAGTTCCCTCTTAAAGGTAGATATAAGGCTACTAACTAAGCGTTATAGTATATAATGCTATATTACAAAACGGACGATAAAATTAAGGCTAAACTATAGCTAGCTATTAACTTACTACTAAGTAGATTAAACGACCGGCTATATAGCTACGTACGCCGCAAATAGTTATTTAACTACGCTTATATATAGTATACTAAGTTCCGTAAGGACAATTCTCTATTAATATAGATACGCACCTCTAATCTAGTAGAAGGATAGTATTCTTACTATAAGAGCGGCAACATGCTCGTTAAGCGTAGCTTCTTAATTACCGGTTACTTACTTAAGAGCTTTAAAACGGATAAGCGGTAGAATAATAACGCCGCTAATAAGGCTCTAAAGAACGATAAGCTTAGCTTATAGGCTCGTCTACATTACCGCTAGTTCGAGCTACTACGTATATACGTTTAAGTAAAGATTACGGAGTAATACCGCTATAGTAAGAAGCGCTTTAAGAACCTTATACCTTAGTAGTTCCGGTTTAAGGCCTCGTACGATAAGGAAACGCCTTTACGTTACTACTACTACTTCTAGTTCGAGTAGCGAATGCCGTATAAGTATATATAGTTTAATGCCTACTATAACGGTAACGAGCTTACTACTATTTAAACCGCTACGTATGTTAACCGCTTTATTAGCATTAATACTACGTATTATTACCGTAAGTAGCGGATTAACGAAAGCGACATACTAGTAGCGGAGGGAACGAGCGAGCGTATTAACGACGAAAGCCGTTAAAAGTAGCGCTAATAATACTAGCCGCTCGAGCGTAATTACTATACTTTAATATATATAATTATTAAGTAGTTTAAGGAGACGTTCTATCGATAAGCGGACGTTATAGTTATAGAGCTTAGTAAGCCGGAGCGTAATTAATACATTAATACCCTCGCCTATAGCTACGAAGCGGCGCTCTTAAGTAGCGCTCTTACTATCTCCGAGTAGCGCGGTAGCGATAATACCGAGTCGCTCGGTATAGCTATTAACGATGCGCTTGCTTATCTAATAGACGAAGATACTAATATAGAGCTTAGTAAGTTCGATACGCCCTCGACGGTAGTAATTATAAACGAGTTCCCTCTTACTTAAGTAAGCCGTAACTTTATTACCGAAATACTAATACGTATTCGAAACGGCTACGGCTACTCGAGCCTTTAATAGGTTACTAATATTAACGATAAATCTACCGCGTAGCCGAGCTAGCTCCTATAGTAGTTACTAACTCTATTACTATATAAACTACCTCCGGAGGTTATCGAATTTAATAGGTAATTCGCTATATAGGACCTAGTAAGAGACTACTAGTATCGCGAAGGCGTATAAACACTACTAAAAGAGCGTAGATAGTAGATAGTAATTAGATACGAATAGTACGAAGGTAGGTAGCGAGGGTAATAGGATCTAAGGGTAGTAATATTAGAGGTAGTAAGGGTAGTAATATTAGAGGTAGTAAGGGTAGTACGTTTACTAAGGAAATAGCGATAAGAATAATCTATAGTAGTAGATAAGAAAGTAGCTCTTATACCGGTAATCGACTTAACTTAGTAATTTTACGAACTCTACTAACTCTACTAACTCTAGCGTATACGAGGCTATACGAGCGACACGTTAGTAGAATATAGCTCTACCTATAATCCACTAACGACTAGTTGCCTACTATAACGTAAGGCTAACCTATTTTAGAGCTTATTTCACACTATATAACGACCGTTACCTAGGTACGTATTGGCCGAATCGGGCTAGACGTTGGTAGAATACAGACCACCCGGAAAGCTCCATTCACTGCCCTAATTTAGAGTTGGCAGGGATCACGGCAGCGGGGCGGGGCGGGGCGTGACGGCGGGGTCATACGGTTCCGTCATCGCAGCAAAACATCTTTTCAAGTCCCTCCTAGTAACGACGACCTGACACCTTGAACGGGACAACGCGCGAAGAGCACCTTCACCAATCTTAACTCTTCCTACGGCAAACGAACAGCGATCACATCATGGCCAAGGGCGGCGAAAACAGCAGGAAGGCAGCGGGCAACGCGAAAAAGGCCGAGGTGGCTGCACAAAAGCAAGCAGTTGAGAATGCGAAGAAATCCAAGGCAGAGGCAGAAGAATGGTCAAAGGGTAGCAAGGACAGCAGTAAAGCGTACGCTATCTCGTGATTCTGGTCAGCAGCAATTACYACATGCTGATTCTTCAAAACATCAGTGAAGCAGCCGCTGCCAAACAAGCCGAGGCCGCACGAAAGAAGGCCGAGAAGGAGGCGTTGTTAAAGGAAGAAGAGGCATCATTGWCGAGCAAACCTTCGGGCAATAAGAAGGTCGCTGTGAAGAAGGCCCGGGGTCTCGATCTGTCAAGTCTGGACGATGAGCCCTCGAACTCGAAGAAGGGTACAACACTCAACGCTTCTGGTATCGATAACGCGCTTGATGCTTTGGACCTCACATCGAACAACACCGACAAGATTGACCGCCATCCTGAGAGACGATTCAAGGCCGCCTACAATGCCTTTGAGGAGCGGCGATTGGAGGAGATGAAGGATGAGAAGGGTCTCAGGCGGCAGCAGAAGATTGATCAGATCCGCAAGGTACGTTGGATCAAATGCGTTCTCGTTGAGATTGCTAACACTGCATAGGAATTTGAGAAACATCCAGACAACCCGTTCAACCAGGTCGCGGGTTCCTACAACATGAGCAAGGAGGAGCTTGCCGCGCTGAAGGACGGCGAGAAGGCCAGGAAGGAGGGTCTGCTGACTGGAGAGTGAACGGCATGATCCCTGACGAATACATGTCCACGATTGAGAAACCACGCCGAAGATAGCAGATGCTAGGTAGAGGAACAGGAACATCAGCTAGCCTGGATGCACCTGCCCTTATTTCGACGATGTCTCCGACTCGGATAGCATGCTTCAAGCAGCAATCCAGAAACTACGGACAGATGAACGGGCCTAGAGGCTGAGAGGACGAAACAGCTTTCAGACAGTATCCTATAGGAATGTGGTTTAGATTGTGGCCGCTCGAAATCAGTTGGGGTTTCCTCGTATCAGAAATTTCGAAGAGAGGTTCAGGATTTAGCATTGTGTCACAAACTTCGAGGTACGTTTTTCATCAACTAGCGCCTGAGCATCTTGATTATCTGCAGTGACTAGACAGCTATTTTCTGTCAGTAACGTAAGTCCCATAGTCTGCGCATAGCGCAGCTTGTGTGAAGACTCTACGCCCGAAGTAGATAGCACCCTGACTTGGCTGGTAGGTAGATCAACACAACATGTGGCTAGAMAGCTCCACATGCATACACAACCGCTACCTGGCCGAGGACCACTGTTCAAAAAAGGGTAAGGCGGTGAAAATGACCACCCACGCGGGGCTGAACGACGATCAGGCAATCATCTCAACTCTTGTAGAAAAGACGGGCTTCTGCTGTCCTGTGTGCTCTGAGTTGAATGCCGGCCACCATCGATATCATTTCCAATGCCTTCCATTAATCTCGAGCACGGCTTCCGCTTCATCCCCAACAGAATCGATACAATCGCAGCCGAAGATCCGTTGAAACCTTTCATATGTCTTCCCAAGGACGACGACGTTTCTAGCTTTGAGGATGTAACTTACAAGCAATTCGCGAATGCTATCAATGGAGCGAGTCATTTTCTCGATGATGTGCTTGGGAAATGCGAAGTGAATGCTTTTGATACAATAGCGTATATCGGGAAGAATGACTTGAGATACTTGATTCTTGTGGTTGCGGCTGTCAAGACTGGGAGAAAGGTGAGCTTCTATTCCACTCTCCAAGGGTGGTACTGACCATGGATCTGCAACGTAGCTCCTATCCGCATCAACATGGACGTCCATAGAAGGGAAGAAGAATTTATTCTCCCTGACAAATACCAAAGCGCTCTTCCGCTCTATTGCACCACAAACCAAAGAAGTCCTTGAAGAGCTCGACCGCGCCAACCYCGACCTAAAAGTCATCGATGTTCCGCCTCTTGACCACTGGCTTAATGCTGACATCGACTTTCCACACTACCCATACTCCCGAACATGGGAAGAAGGCATCAACGACCCCTTCGTGATCTTCCACACTTCCGGGACAATGGGTCTTCCGAAACCCCTGACCTACACTAACGCAACCATGCAAGCCTATGATGCCATGTCTCAGCTCCGACATACAGGCCAGCAGCTTTCAACCCACGATATGACGGGACGGAGAATCTACGTCTCTTTCGCTATGCCACATGCAAGTACCATCGTCGGCTCTTCCATCATATGCACCAACTAACGTTTGAAATTCCCAGCTCGGCGGGTTCGGCCACCTCCTCCTCTACCCAGTATTCTTTGACTACATCGGTATCAACGTCACCCAGTTCCTCCCCAGCGCTCCAATTTTGGACAAAGTCCTCACCAATACATCCGCCTCGGCCGCCGTGCTATATCCAGCGTTGATCGAGGAAGTTGCACGTCGAGATCCCACCAGCTTTGCTCCTCTGAACAAACTCGACATAATCTGGTGGGGAGGTGCGCCTCTCAGTCAATCTCTAGGGGACTCGTTGTGTGCATTGGTCGATCTTCGCACGAAATATGGCACGACTGAGATCACCTGGCCAGCATTCGAAGCCGTAGGCTCCGAGAATTGGAACTTTGTCAAAATCGCACCTTGTGTCGGAGTCTCGTTTGTTGAATTCTCCGAAGGGTTGTATGAGCTTTGCATGGTGAGGCAGAAGGGGTACGAGATTCTTCAAGTGGCGTTTCAAGTCCATCCGGACAAGGATTCGTATTCTACCGGAGATCTATGGTCAAAGCATCCTAGCAAGGCGGATTGCTGGAGATATCGAGGTCGTGTAGATGACATGGTCAAGCTATCTACAGGTCAAAGCGTCAATGTCGCCGCATTGGAGACTAAGATCGCTGCCTGTCCGCTGGTTTCCGGAGTGTTGGTACTGGGCACAGGCAGACCAAAACTGTGCCTTGTCCTGGAGCTTGCTGGAAAGGTGGACCAGTTCAAACAGGACAAGGAAAGACTGCTTGATCAGATCTGGCCGTGGGTGGAGGAGGCAAATACTACTTGTACGGAAAATGGACGGTTGGTGAGGGAAAGAGTGTTACTGTTGGGACCAGAACGACCGCTGAAGCGGCTCTTAAAGGGAACTGTGGATCGGCGAGCAGCTACAATAGCTTTGGCGGGAGACCTTAGTTTGCTTTATCGTCAAGAAATCGTCGTGGAATAGTCGGTGAGGAAGCGGCATAACGAGACCTGAGATGAGCTTCTCTACACCGCAATAGCAATAGGTACAAGCCCAACCAAAGCGACGCACATCAACATGAGAGGGAAGCATCGCCTCATGGTGTTGCCTTGAATGTAATTCGTGAGCTTCATGTCTCGCCACCAATCTGGGCCTTTGCTCGCATATGCCATCTTGAACTCAGACGCTGTGATGAAGCAGAATGAGACGGGTGAATAGGCGATGCCGATCCAAGGTTTTTCCTGAATCATATTTCCCGCCTGGGAGGCAAGACTTATGGGAACGATTGCGAAGGCCAATATCGTCCAGGCTTTGATGTAGTGTGCAGTCTTTCGATGATACGGCTCAAAGACTCGTCCTCCACCGTGACACATCGGACAATTGTCCGACTTCTCGAACCACAGCACAAGACATTCTTTGCAAAAGATGTGCTTGCAAGGAAGTCGTATGGGAGTCTGCGCGGGATCGTCCCAGCATATACTACAAGGGCTGACGGGTACGTCCGTAGCTTCATACATGTAATGCTGCATGAACTCTGTCTGATGCAAATTAGCCACTACTCATTGAGTGCTGACCTTTACCTACCTTATCTGGTAAGACATTGGAGTTCTCAGTTGCTGGCATACTCATGATGGCGTTCAGCAGCTCAGCAGTCAGATCGAAGTAGCCAGCCAGGTCGAGAACTGAACACAGCAGTGTTGCTGGACTTGACACTATGCATAGCAAAAGGAGAGTGGTTGCTGATATCCATTCACTGGCGAATACCGATACATCTGGCAACCTCGTGGCGCCCGAAAAAATGAGGAYGGCAAGCAGGGCGCATGCTCGAGAGATGATCGGGCAGATGTCAAGGAGAAAAGAGTTGAACGAGCTTGGCCACTCGAAGTAGCCCATTATATACCGTCTGGAAGTTGCAGGCGTCCGATGAGAGGTCTTGTCTTTCTAGCGGAGGGAGTCCAACATTCGACGAGCCTCATCGAGGCAGATCTTGTCGAGATTCCTCTCGTTCAGGCATATGAAGCTAATACCGCCAAGTCGGGTGTGAAGCGTACCGACTTCTCGAATGATATCTTCAATCCGTGAGGTGCTGTGGGCCCGTGCGATATGGGTAGGTAGGTGAATGAACAAAGAGGAATCCCCTCGGGCCTGAGAGAGTGGACGAAGTGGAGCCGTCCCGTCCCGCCGCCTCGCACTTCGGATCCTTCGATCCTTGAATCCTTGCCATCCTTCACAATATCCATCTGCGGTATACGATGCTCTGTCTATCCATTGATCATAATGGCCATCATCTTCAAAGAGATCTGGGACCAATGAGGCCATCTCAGCAAACCTGAAGAAGTCTGTCTGCTGCCCAATCCAGCCGCGCCCAGCGCACACGATGCATCGGACCTATCGGGAGAGCTTGCCTTGCCTGCAGCTGCAGCTACCCAGCGCCAAAGCAGGCCGTTGACGGAGTCGACGAGGGCGGACTCTAGTCCCGCCAGTAGTCGCCGTTGCGGTGTCCAACTTCCATGTCACCGTCGCGCGACGTCCGCCATCCTCAAGTCCTCCCACCGACGTATACTGCTCGTATGTCTGTCCTCCCAATCGTGGACCCCCTCACCACCCGATTCGCCCTCAAGAAGATGTTCTGTGCTTCCCGTTGAGCGCACATATCGCGTTTGTGACACAATCGGCCGCACCTCGACCCGCTTTTTCGGAAGACACAGTTGTTGATGGTTGGCCTCATGGCCAGTGTACCTTCGGATGCCAACATCGAAGCGAACTGCGCCATATGCGGTGCTCCTCCATCATATCCCGAGTGCCCGCATGAGGGAGAGCGGCTCGAATTGGCGCTTGATCAGGCCATGCAGAGATGGGAAGCAAGGGAGGCAGTGCAAAGAATACGGTAGGGAATCAATCTGTATCATAGACACACCTTCCCCCGCTGACGGTGGTGGCTTTGCAGCAAGTTCGCGTTAGATCACGCTCGAAACCAAATTATAACCACATTCCACCAACTGCGATCTGCACGGGTACAAGCCCACCACAGCTATCTGCAGACCCTCCCATATTATACGCTGTATCATCGCTACAATGGACATCCGCCACTGTCACCCGAACAGCTGCATTTGGTATACTCCCAGATCCAACAAGCCAATCAAATTCTGCAGCAGGGCGTCGATCAGGACTGGAGAACATCTTGCTTGCAGTATCCTGCTGTGCTAGATYACTATTTCAATCTAGCAGAAATAGTGCTACCTGACGAAAGACATCCCGCGATTCAGGACCCGCGATTTGGTCCACCGCCACCAAAAGGCGGTGTGMAGCGTAAGGTGAAGGAGCGGAGAGACAGCGTGGATATGGCTGTTAGAGAACATCGCAAGAAAGACAGACGGCGAAGTAGGGGACGTACGCCTCCACCGCCACCAGCTCCCATGCCTTATCGGCACCCATGAAAGCAAAGAGGTCGGCGAGTCGAGAAAAGTCACGCGTTCCGGAGCACGCTCCCAAGAGCCTTCCAGCTTCACAGACTGGCGAGATTTGGTCAATGTTGTCGACATGCTCAGCGTACCAGCGATCATCAGCGAGGTCCGACAGATGTACATATGAAGCGCAATGCAGTCCGTCATGTGCATATCTATTATGTGCATGTCTATATCATGTGCATCTCTCTAATTGGTACTGTCTTTGACGACGCATGTGTGAATCCATGGCCTTGGCCTGGTCGATTGCCCAAGAATCATTGTGAAGAAATCTATTACCAACAACCGCTCTTCACATTCAAACGGCCGGATATCGATCCCGACTCGGCCAATTCAAGACAAACCTCATACCTCGGCGAGTCATCAATCCTCTTCCTGAACAGCTTTCAGCTTAGCATGATTGTTAGTCCATGTTGGTGGTGTCGGAGATTTCTGAGACGTGTTAAGCCACTGAGACAAAGCCTCTTTCGCGCTGCACGAGCGTTAGAGCAGTGTCATGCATTAGGTTTTGGTAGTGCGGGAGGCTGCAAACTTACTTGTTATCATTGACGAGCCCGGCGACCGCGTTCTCGATCGGGTTAGGGCGGCCATTCGTTCTTTGTTGGAGTGGGAGTGGAAGCTATGAGAAGATTGACAATTAATACACGCTACCCTCGCCGCCGTAGAAACTCATAATTGAGTCAAGAGTATTGCGGGCATTGTGACTGTGAGCTCGTACCTGCACAAGAGGAGCTGATTGAGCCTCTCCAAATTGAACGTCCTCCCCGGAATATGTTGATACCCAATCTTCGTCTTCTTCAAATTCAGTCTTGCACATGCTGGGTATCGTAGTTCGTAGTGATGATTCTGTGGTAGGCCGTGTGCGCGATCCTGATGTGGCGCTCTGCGATTCAGAACGCGTCGTCGCCTGGGAGTCCGAACGTGTGCTTGTTCTCGTGCTGTTGGAAATCTGTCTAGGGAGTGTTGGGGAATGCTGCCGGGACAAACTACCAGGAAAACTGTCCTGAGACAAACTGGCGGGTTGGTGTCCACGTCCACGAGAACTATTCTCTTGGGCCTCGGCCCTGCTGGACGCCCTTTCGATGGTGTCCAGCTCGTTGAAACCCGGGGATCCTGGAGGGAAAGCATGCCGAGACCTTGCGGCCATTGGCATAGGTGGAAGTGCTGTCCGAGATGACGTGCGTCTTGGAGGTTCGGACAGAGGTTGGTCTGATGAAGCGGATGCGTGTGTAGCATACTTGGAAAGTTCATCCTCGGTATATTGGTCAGGATTGTGCGCCATGTGGTTGTTGCCAATGTAGGTCCAGAATCGATTGGTGCGCTGCTTGACACTGGGCGCAAGCTTTTGGTGTTGGTCGATGAGATCAGCGAGCGACATTTGTGAGGTTTTAGTCTGACCGTCATTGAGAGACGATGTCTCACTGCTGCTATTCCTGGCGGCTGGCCATGCCGACCCAGCGAGCGATATGGAATCACCATCAGAACTGGTCGGCTTAAGACGGTGCTGATCGGTGCTGGCACGTACTGGGCGGCGTGGGTTCTGAACCTGTGTAGATGGCTCTCCAAGCAGCACCCTTGGAAATCCGCTGATTGGGAACCCGTCAGGCTCCAGTCCGTCGTGTTTCGATAGAAAGAGGGCTATTGACGTTGCTCTGTTCTCATTGCGCAACGGGATGTACACGTTGGGCAGCCCCAGAACAGCATTGTCGATCATCCCGCGAATGACTTCCATGCTGATAGTAACCTTGAAGGAGAGGTCTCTTTGCTCGTGGTCGGGCTTGACCAAGAAGTGAGGTTCGAAGTCGTCCGTTCTTTGGTCTTTCAATATACGTCCAAGTCCCGATAGCTCCTTGGAGCCATCCTCAAACCGACAAACTATGGCAGCACTGCAGACCTGTTCGCTTTTCTCGGCCGTCGCCTTCGACTGAAGTTCCAAGTAGAACGACGATGCAACTAGTCGATGCGCCACATTCCGCAATGCCGCCTGTCGATGCGCTGTTTGCAGCCGCTTGCGGACGTTGTTCTGAAGTGAGATCATTTCCGACTTATTGTCTGCGGCAGGCGGCTCGCGGTCGAGGTCTGGGTTGAATCGAATGAACCGCCTGCCTTTCGCCTCGGTCGTTTCTCGTACAGCATGGTTTCGGAAGTCTGCCCAAGCAAGCTCAGCATCTACGATTTCGTCTGTTCTGCGAGTTCTCCATCGACCTGTAGTCTTCTTGGCAGCTTGAGGGTCACGTGTTGGCATTGCTATAGTCGATGTCGGTCTGTCTGACAACTTTTGCAGCACAGTAATGCGATTCTGTCCGGTTCCAAGCGACAAGAACATGTCCGGCTGGGCGATGTCCGGCCAGATCAAAGCACGTTCCCTATCGGCAACAAAGGCGGGATTGGGACACCGCACCCCACCGTCGAGGTATGTTTTGTTGTGGAAAACCAGTGGTCGGAAGTATGCTGGGCTGGACAGCGACGCAGCAATTGCCTCGTGGGTCTTGAGCTCATTATCAGGGTCGTGTGGTCTCTCGAAGACGTATGAAGGCTTCGGATCGTCCGACCTTCTGTAGCTGGCGAGTAAGATGGTATCCTGCCCAGTGGCACTCGTGGAAGTCACACCAACACGGCATMCAGTTCGGAATCTCTCGTGGGATCCAAAATAGCTGTCGTCTGCCGTGAACGCCGTCTTTAGTGCGGAGTGCAAGGGCTTTGTCTTGTACTTGGGTCCACTGCCAATGACTTGAGCCAGGTGGCTCAAGATTGGGACCCCTCTTCGTGTATATGCATGGTCGCATAGTGCGGTGAACATGTCAATGCACGATTCGACAGTGTGGTCCTTCATTGATAGCGCAGTTGCGATGAGACCGCCAGTCCCGGTCCCTACCATCAGATCGAAGAAAGTGGGAACTGAGACGTGGCGGCCGAGCACATGTTCTATGGCTCGTAAGACCTCGAGTTGAACGATACCACGTATGCCGCCTCCATCCAGAGATAGCACACGAACTCCAGCCCCAGATGGCTTGAACTTGATCAGCACTGGCTTCGCCCACATTGTTGATTCGCGGTGTAAAGGACAGCAGGAGACTATGATTGAGGTTTTCTTCTGCTTCCCATACGCCTTGACACAGGCCGTGCAAAGCACGTGGCCGCACGGCAACGGATGCTCCGGGACATCCTTTCAATTGTTAGTGATTTGCATGGTTGCTGCATACATGTCTGTGCACTCACCATCAAACAGCAGAAGCATGTCGCATGACTGCAAATGGACGACGCGGGACCAACAGCCTCGAAGAATTGGTTCAGGTATTCAATGTGCAAGTCCAAAGCAATGCGCTCCTCCGGTATCGTGTTCAAATCGTCATTGTGGGACATCTGCTCCAGCTCGTATTGAAAATCTCTCTGGATGGTTCCGACTGCTGCTCTTAATTGGGACTTCCACTGAGGTAGAAAGCTGGAATCGAATGCAGCCTGATAGTCACCAGTGGCAATGATCCCCTTCTCGTCCTGGTGTCCTTTCGGCTGATGGCGAGCTTTGACTAATTGGCACTGTCGCGTACCGTCAGAACTAACATAAGAGCACGGGTAGTGCATCTCCAAATACTCTCCCATTGCCCAGTCGAAAAATTTCTCATAATTGGAGAACAGCTCATCCACTCGACCTTTCCGGAATCTGGCACAGTCCAACAGTACACACGACGCGAGCATCACGCTCAATCTCTCAAACAGCCAGGAAATTCTCCCCGGTTGGTGGTTCGGCTGCTGAGAGCTAATGGTTGTGCATAACTGTAGGATGTGCCCTCCGAAATCGTTTGGGATGGGATTGCTTAGAAGACTGATCCGCATAAAGTCGAAAGGGACATTGAGGTGAGTTGTAAAGTGATCGAATCCAGACTGCAAGTACGTGTTAAGCTCATCTGCCGTGGAAAGCATGCGAGCTCTCCTCTTGTTGCGGAACGACTCTTCRCAGTTCGACTTGATTATGGCCTGCAGTTTCCCGACCTGCTCGTTGATCGTTGTGTATCTCGGTTTGGCTGGGATTCGAATGACCTTGAAGGAGCTGTAATATCGCAAAATCAAATCCTCTACGGTGTAAATGTGCTTTCCGAGGGACCTCCAGTGGTCTGCAAGTGCACGGAAATGTGGAACACCCTCCACGACGTCGAGGGCTCCTCGAACGGACGATAGCAAGCTTTGCGTGGCGAAGTTGACATCCCACTCTTGGTCATCTACTCCAGGATCGGTTCCGTTGACAGCGACGACACAGTGCGGTAGTGCCGGCTGGTTGATGGACTTTTCAAGCGAACTTGCACCCCAGTCCAACAATTTGCCCAGCACTGCGGACTGGAACGTCTTTGGGTTTCGAAGTACGAAAACCACACAGTCGGAAAAAGTGTAAAGAAGCCTTGGGTACAATGCTGTGACGGCATACTCGCGCTGGCGAGTCTCCTCTGTAGTGGCCCATTCAATCGGGCGAGAGTGGACGTGGCCGTTTCTGGTCGGATCCAAAGCTTCCATATCGAGACCCATCCCACTCATACCACCCATGCCCGTTTTCCGTCGTGAGGTCACACGTGCGCCAAGCGGTGTACGTTCGCCTCCTTCAAATCCTTCACAATCGGCGTACAGTATTGGCAGCTGCTCGGCGTGTGTGGATGGATCAGCATACAGATGGACATCGCCAGAGGTGGGCACAGAATCATTCACTACGCTTCCGACCACAGGTGAAGGAAACATGGAGCGATTGACAGTCGAAACTTCTTGCACCCCATGGTTAACAAGCATTTTGATCAGTGTCGACTTTCCTGCATTGGTAATGCCGATGAAAGAGACAAGCTGAGGATAGCGGGTCCCTTGGCTTGCCAGAGGCGAGATGCTCGACATGAGCGTGGCATATCGGCCGTAATCCTCGAAAGTCGGCTTTCCAGTGGCATCTTTGTTAACACCAAACCATTTAGTGCCTTCGTCGTCTTCATGAAGCTTCTGAATCTCTACGGAATTTCTGGTTGGATTCAAAATGTTCTTGAGGTTTTTCACAACGTGAGGGCTTGTCTTTTCATGAGGCACTCCGTCGCGACCCTTTTTCTTGGGCTTATGAGGACCTTGAAGTCCCCAGCAGTCACTGTGATACTGTGAGTTCGGACACGGCTTGCACCAATTTCACAACTTGCTTACCTGCAGTACGAACTGTCACAGTCCACGCAGTGCCAGACCGGCAGCTGTGGTCCATTGCAGCGGTCATCCTCGCATTGGTCCGACGGCTCATCTGCACTGTGGGCGGAAGAGTCCGAGTCTTCGTCCCGCATCGTTTCCGTGGTTTGTGCCAACGAGGCCGCGGCCCGTCGGTTGCTTCACCGTCTTGTGTCGCCGTGGCTGAGGCACTCAGCGGCACATTCCGTGTGAGCAGTAAAAATTAGCAGCTGCGCGAACAAAAACGTATGGGCAGTAGATGGTTGTAGCAGGCAGGAGGGTCGCGCAAGTGTGAGATCATGAACACCTCCCATTTGCCTTTAGGAGGCGACTGCCGTTTCAAAGCTTCCATCCTTGAAACCCAGCGTTCGGGTAACCTTGTGTAAATAGCGCGAAAATAGCGTTCATCATGCACAACCGCCGATAGACCTGCCAAGCTAAGGTCAAGCCCAGCCTTCGCGTTTGTCGGCAAAAGAGAGCGCGACCGACGTCGCATGAACCTCTGGGCCGCGATTCGCCCTGTTTCCAGAGTCCCAATCGCTGTTCCTGACACTGGCGGGCGCTCCCCGCGCAATCTCGAGGCGTCGTGCGATGTGCCGTGTACTTTGTTCCATGGCTTCGAATCTGGCCGGGGTCGCGAACCAAATCGCTAGCGTGGTTCTCTCCACCCAATGACTTGGGAATTCGGAGAGACCGACTCCCACCAAAAGGGGATGCCCTTTACCTCTGCATACCTAGCCGCCAACTAATAATAAGTCCTCGGCTTCGAAAGCGAGGACGCTCAACATCTCAGGTACGAAGTCTTAGAAGACTCTGGAAATGTAGCCTGCATGCAAATTGCACGCTTGGCAGCACCGTCTATGCGTACACTGCCTMCTACGGTGACCCTGGTCCGCAGCAAATTCATAATAATAGAAGTGACAAGCTTGCGCGTTCTCATACTTGTAGCCAAGACGCTCATAATGAGGATCCCCTATAGCATGTGCTACTACCATGTCTTCGTTCATGACTAAGCTGTAGCGGCTGGAGAGCGTCGTGACTCGAATCAGTGTGGGTGTTGGCATGGTGAGAAATTAAACGTGTTTCCGAGCCCGTGTCTGTTCCACGCTTGAGCTTTGTTACCGCCTCTGGAGACGAGAAAGCTACAAAAAATGCCCGATATTCGGCACCGATTGATGCCCGGTAGAACGCATGCCCTATGATCAACAAGGTGTGTACTCACCTGCTTGTGCTGCTCTGCGGACCTTACTCCGCGATTCATTGCGAAGCTGTCAATATTCAACGGGTATCGCGTACTCCACACCGGCACACTCGACGTGCAGCYGCAATGCAGCTCTTCTGGGATGATCGTGTTAAGCCTTAAACGGCGTGCATCCACTAGTGTGGGGTCATGGGTGAGCCAATCAACAGGCATTAGCTGCATAGTGGCATACACTTTTCAACCGCTGGCCGAACTGCTCGGCCCGCTAAGACAGCTGTGAATACTTGGGCAAGTTGTTCGTACACTTGCTCAATCATTGAGCAGACTGAGTATTACTTCTGGCAGCCCAGACACACCCTGCTTGTTGATGGCAGAAACAGGGAGAGAATGCATTGTCCTGCGCCACGCGTTCTGCTTTCCGCTGGGATGCTCCTGCTGGCCGCTCTCCACGTCTTTCAAATAGCTTTGGAGATTCAAGTAGTTCTCCTCGGTCCCTGGAAGATCTGCCTTGGTGGCCACGACAAACCAAGGCTTGCTGGTGATTGGCGGCAGCGACAATGGTGGAAGTATGCGACCATCCGGAGCGGACACTTCGACACCCAACTCCCCATCAGCGAAAGGGTCATCGTCATCTGATATTGACGTCTCAAATGGCTTGAAGGGCACTACACCACCCTCTTCTCCTGGATAGAGCCTCTGAGTCTCCGCATTGAGCTCTTGGTCACGTAGCTTTTCGTACTCGCCGACTTCACGCCAAAGCGATTTCAATGCTGCGACCGCGTCCCGAGCACTGAGATCAACGACGAATGCCAGCACTGCCGCTCGTTCGATGTGGCGGAGGAAGCCAAGTCCGAGTCCGCGGTCGAGATGAGCATCTTCGATGAGACCCGGAATGTCCGCGATCGTGAATTGCGTGCGCGGCTCCTTACGTCGACCCTTGGTGTCCAGCGACGGTCGGCCTGTGTGGGAATCGAGAATTACAGTCCCGATGTTAGGGCTGAGAGTAGTGAATGCCCAATTGCCAACTCTAGTTCTTGACTTCGTCACGGCACGGAGAAGCGTTGACTTGCCAGCGTTGGGCAACCCGACAAGTCCAACGTCAGCGAGGAGCTTTAGCTCCAGCTGTAGATGAATTCTCATACCATCCTCGCCCTTTGTAGAGAACTTGGGACGAGGCAAGGTCTTGGTGACAAAATGCGGGTTTCCCAAACCTCCCATGGCCCCAGCGGCCAAGAGCATTGGAGTTTCCATAGGTTTGTCCAGGTCTAGCCGCAGCGGAGTTGGAGGCTGCAGTGAAGTCAAATGACTTCGTCTCGGCTTAGGCGTAGCGGGAAAGTCAGCGACACTGAACGCCTTTGGCAATGTCCCTGGGTATATGAGCCATTTGTCGCGGCGAAACTCGCCGTTTTGTTCAGTGCCGTCCTCTGCATCTGCATCCGCCTCTTTGATTTTTCCATAGTTCTTTGCAGCTTCGGCATCCTGTCGCGCATGCTCCACCTCGATGGGATCTACTCGCCACACCTCCCTGACCACTGTACCGACCGGGACTGTAAGCAATAAATCCTCACCTCTCGCGCCGCCTCGTGATGTTCCCTGGCCATTTTTCCCCCTCCCGGCTTTCAAAATGCCTCTTCTTGCGATCTTGTGCAGGGAAGTTTCGCCTCTAACCGCCTGTATGTATACGGAGCCACCTGTTCCACCATCTCCTCCATTAGGCGGTCCATTGGGAATGTACTTTTCTCGCAAGAAGGACACGCATCCATGGCCTCCCGCTCCGGCGCTCACAGTCAGCGCGCATGCATCCGTGAAAGGTTGCGCCGAGTAGTCTCGTGGTACGGGGTCCAGATGGTTGTATTGGTCAACATCGATGGGCGGCCTCGAGGCGTCTTCCTGAGTAGCTGCGTCTAATTTCCTGGAAGGCGTAGTGTGCAGACAGCGACGGATGTTGCAGAGCTGTCTCGGCTTGGGCACGCGCGCTACACTGAGACACGGATATAGAAATGGCGTCAAGGTGAATAGCAGCCGAGGAGCGGTTACTGGAAGAGACATCTGTGGCCGTGTTCAACGACAAATGAAGGTGTCAGCTGAAGGCGACGCGAACGCGCATATAAGGTGCCTTAGACTAGAATACAAAAAAAAACCCTAAATCTTAACACGACCCTACTGATCGATCATCCAAGGAGTATTCCGTCAACTCAACTCCACAACAATCTTTTACACGGCAAACGACACTGCCAAGACGGGAGAGAAACGCTGATTTCTGACATGCGTCTACGCGTGTAAGGTGAATCATTCAAACCATAATGACGACGATGACTGCAGAGATGTGGCGCATGAGACATTACATTGCTCTTCATAATCGAATGTCATGTCTTCTACGTTTCTAGCGTACAACATCTGTCTAATGTCATAATATCATGGCTCAATGCTGCTAAACGTCGTCTAAATTAATAAGTGCCAACAATGGTGGCCTCGAACGAGTCTCTGAGATCCCTGCTGCTGAAACCCACGTGGAAAGTGAATGTTCCAGTAGGAATCAACCACTGCTGAGCCGTAATATCCCAGTAGCTGAGATCGCGGCGCATGAGCGGGAAGCTGACAGTCGCCTGCTCGCCAGCGTCAAGAGGAATCTTCTCAAATCCTCYCAATTGACGGACAGGAGTCTCCGGGACGGAATCCGGAAGCGAGACGTAAAGCTGAGGAACCGCTGCACCATGAACATCGCCAACGTTTGAGATGTTGGCAGTCACAGTGTAGACGGTCTCCCAGAGAGCAGGGTTGCCACCTGGAGCAACAGGTAGATCCTCTGGTGCGGAGGCGATAGGTCCGGCAGCGGAGCCCTCAATACCAGAGGCGTTGAATTCAGTGTAAGAAAGACCGAATCCGAACTCGTACAGCACAGGCATGTCGTGCGCATCAAAATAACGGTAGTCAATCTCCAGCTTCTCCTCGAACCACACTTGCCAGTCGTCGATACCATCAGTGGAGACCTCGGTGACGGGAGGCGCATTGTAATCAGTCTCGTTCAGAGCGATAGTGTATGGGAGCTTTCCAGATGGGTTGACCTTGCCGTAAAGGATATCTACGAGCGAGTTTCCAGATTCTTGTCCAGGGAAGTGGGCAGTGATGATGCCAGTGACATTGGGGTGGTCCGCGAAGGGAACGTTGACGAGTCCAGGAATGTGCATGACGACGATCGTGTTGTTGCATACCGATGCGACGCTCTCGACGACCTCGTTACCGCTCCACTCGGCATCCAGACCGTAACGATCACTGCTCTCTGCTGCCCAAGCCTTCAGGAAAACAAGGCAAACGTCAGGCTTCTGAGGAATCCATAGCGTGGTAATGTCGGTTTCGGCAAGGAGAGTGTTGTTGAGCCAGACCTGAACGAGGGAGTTGTCTTCTTTCGCCTGTGCTTCAATGGCAGCCAGTGGAGTAATGAGGTAGGTCRGTCGGCCTGTACCAGAACCGCCACCAGCAACAATCGTTCCATACTCGAAGTCGTTCGGGTTGATCATTCCGTTCGTAGGCTGACCAGCATCGTTGCCGAAGACAGCGATGGATCTTGGGGCTTTGAGTGGGAGAGCGCCGTTGGTGTTCTTCAGGAGGATCGTTCCAGCTGCTCCATGGACGCGAATCTTGTCACCGTGGTCCTCGCGAACGTCCCGGCTAGCATCTTCACCAAAGTTCCAGTCGTTGCGGTAGTAGGTGCTGCGGGGTGAGAAGGTGTTCAGATCAGCCGAGGACGGATCGGTGGAGGGGAAGTCCTTGTCCTGGCCCAATTGATAGTAAGGTGTCATGATACGAACGATCATGTCATCAATTCTGTGCTCAGAGACGGTGCCGTTGCTGACCATGGCTGTGATGTTGCCTCCAAAGTACGATCCGACTCCATATGAAGTTCCGTAAGGACCCAGGCCTCCCGGCATGTTCATATCGAGACCACCCTCAACAGAGGCCACGCCACTGTGTGTGGCACCCCAGTCGGACATGATCTAGGTAGAGTCAGCATGATCATTGAAAGGCTCGATTCAGCAAGACTCACATATCCCTGGAAACCCAACTCCTCCTTCAAAATCCCGTTCTGGGCTTTGGAGTTCTCGCAGGCATACGAGCCGTTCAACCTTTGGTATGCGCACATAAATGAAGCAGCTCCCGCCTTGACGCTGTTTGCAAATGGCCACAGGTAAAGCTCATGCATGGTTCTGTCGTCGATGTTGCTTGAAATGGCCTCCTGGATCACGGTGTTCAATGTTGCATTGTAGTCGTAAGTGGGGTTACGCTGAGTCTCCTGCTCGTTACCGATGTAGTGCTTGGCGGTGGCCTGTACGCCAGCATCCTGGTGGCCACGGATTGTCAACTCCATGCCAAGACCGGTGAGGTATGGATCTGGAGAGAAGCCCTCCCAGTTCCGTCCGGCGTACGCAGAGCGGCCTAGGGGTCCTGCAACTGGTCTTTTGACGTGTCAGCGAGTAGCTAAGATTTCGGAGAGGTATCTCAACTTACGAAAGCGCAATCTGGGCACCCTTGGCGCGGAACTCCTTGCCCATCAGATAGCCTCTCTCGTAAATGATTTCCTTGTCCCAAGTACTCGCAGCAGAAACGCCGGCGGAAAATACACTAGCGTAGTCTGCCACGCGAACTGAGAGCGGACCGTCCTGCAAACAGAGACCATTGAAGCCAAGCCTCGCGATGGGGGCAATGTTACCAACACAAGGGCCCGGCTGACCAGTGACCATCCATGCCTTCTCTTCGAGGGTCAGTTGGGACACGAAAGCCTTGGCCTTCTCCAGAGCATCTTCCCATCCGCCAACACCAGTCGCGTTGGCTGTTACAATGTCAGTGGGTGCTTTAATTGACTTGACGGACGTGACTGAGACATACGCGAGGGTAGTACGGCAGGAGAGTGTCCATATGATCCGAGAATCGTCCAGTTCGCTGGTTGAACAAAAGTGAACGAACCCTCAGGGCGTGGAGGAGGGTCGTAGGACTGGGCACCAACACCGGATAACAGCAATGGCAAGACCACCAAAGGCAAGAAGGACGCCATCTTGGGATTGACGATAGAGGAGTGACCTTTCTTACCGACGCTTCGGGGAATCGATCTCTTATAGCTGCAAAGAGAGACCAGCACCGACCTAAACAACGGGCACAGTTCGGCTTTGAGAGAATTATTGAATGACCACGTGCTGCCATCTGTGCTGCTGTTCCCAGGCCCCATGGGGCAATCCGTGAGCGTGGATAACAACGGGTAGACTTTACCCGTGGGCTAACGGAGGGCAGTGGAGAGAACCTGTGGGGACCGCCTGGTCGCCATCGAGCACCGATAATGTGTAGTGCCATTGGATGCATAGCTTTAGCCTTTTGCGGTGCGGTTAGTAGTCGGCCTGTCCGCCACGAGCTCGCCTACACAGTCGGCACATCGCCGGAAAATTCATGGTAGTATGACTTGTGGGGCGATGGTGCTGGCTCACTCCACTATGGAGACTCCAGAGTGCGGATGGAGTAGCCTGTGGGCGAAAGACTAGTGGCCTCCATAACTGTCTGTTGTAGTCCATGTTCAGTGTTCACCGTGTAGGTGATGTTGATTCATAAGGGAAGTCTTAGCGGGGGCGGGGAAAGTCGAGCATCCGTACAACGTAAGCAAGAGTCAATCGAAACTAGAACATCGTACTTGTCGTTATATCTTGGCATTGAAGAGGGCGAACCGACCGACGACAGAAGTGAAGCTGAAGCCTCATCTTGCTTGCCGCGCCATTTCTTCGTCACTGCACTCACCTTGCTTGGCAGTGGGTCTCCAGCAAAAGAACTCAACGGCTGTGCGGTCCGACATCGCGAATGATTGACTCGCGTGCACAGAAGGCGAACGCCGTCATATACCGCCGAAACCTGATCCGACTCATCGCCCGAGTCTGCCCGCACGACATTCGTCAAGTGACGATCGACGGCTGGTCATTTCGGCTAACTGGTACTCGCATGTTGTCGTAAACTWTCGGTCCAAGAGTTAAGATCGGTAGCTGATCCGTACCTGCGCCACGAGGTCGCATGCAACACCCTACTAGCGTAGTAAACGGCTACGACATGGACAAGGGCCTCGCGGGGCACTCCACACGAGCATTGCGACTACGGTTCCTAGTCGGCTGATGACATCGAAGCTTGCGTGAAACTGCGTCCGCGCAACATGTTTTTTCTTTCCATGGGCTTTTCTGTGTTTCAGAGTGACTTCATCACTTTGAACGGAGCCCGATCACAAACATCGTCCCGGAACGACTCCAAGAGCGGCATCTCGGGGTCCTCGAACGTAAAAGAACCAGGAAACAACCGCCCCACCGCTGCTGAGATCATCTACGATCGAAGTGTAGAGCGGTAGTGGACAGCGAAAAAGTCGTAGTCCGGGTCCCCACTGGCGGCACACTGGTGTCTTGGTCTCAAGACTACCAAGACTCTGGACTCCACTGGCGTCCAGATATGCCTTACTCTCTTATGATGGCTTTTCTGAGGCGATGCAAGTCTTGTACGGAGACCAAAGCGAATGAATACTGCGCACAACCGCGATAGAAGTACAGCCTGCCAACGTCCCATCTGCGAACTTCTGTTCGTTCCCATCGACCGGCTACGTTGCTGCTTCCAAGTCTCACAGCGGGCATGGAGCTCTTTCTGGTATTTCGGGATGACAATGGCCCTGGTCGGTAGTTGCATCGGCGCTCACGACTTGATCTGGCATGCGAGTTCAAATCGTTGACTGGGTCTGCTGAACCGCGACGACAACGGCAAGATCGACTTTCCTCATTCCGGGCCTCGGCATGGCCAAGGAGGCAGCCATCGTGAGATACGTGTTGCAGCATTCTGCCACGCCGTATCGAATCGCAAAGGTAATGCGCGAAAGTTTCCCTCTGTTGTGAGTCGCAGCAGTGCTTTGTGCAAGTCGACACGGCTCCAGGAATCTACAGGAGTGGAGACCGAAGAGAGTGCATGCGCCTATGGCTCGTACATGCTACACGGAGGCTTCCAAAAGTTCGATGCCCACGAGGCAAATGCATAAGAATACATGCATGATGCAAAGGCTTTCACAGTCTCGACAAAGTGACCAACTTAAGCCATGTGACGCAATGCTGTTACCATCACTCAAGACCTGAACGCTTCCATTCGGCGGCCGAGTGTGCCTCCCTAGCCGAGGAGAAGGATTTAAAGACAGAGGAGAAGTAAGGTGTACAAGACACAAACGAGCCATCCAAGCGCAGCACAGCACAGTGCTGCACAGCAAGAAACGAGGTGCATAACACGTGGGGCGGATCTACCCACGAGAAAATGTGCCGAGGCTTATTTTTATGTCTCTCCTGATAACAAGACCAGCCATCAGCGGAGGAGTTTATTATTTGTGAGACCTCGGCGCGTCCGCGACTGCCTTATCCCTTTGGCAATCGTCGAACTTCTCCTTCCTTTCTTCATCACTCCACCCTCCCACCCGAAATATCGAACATGGCGACTAAGCTGGCTCTCACTCCCGCGTTCACTGGCGCTCTTTTGTTCGCTCTCACGGCCTCGCCAGATCGCTTCAGAGAACCACTCATCGCCCAGCTCAGGCAGTACATCTCCGCCACCAACCTTTCCCGAGCGGTCACCACCCTCAAATGGCTGTTTGCAGCAGGCCTGGGTAGCACTGTCAATGAATGGCTGTCCGAACTCGCTCAGAACAACTTCCGACTCCGATCGGAAGCACATCGCTATGACTGGCCGAACGAGATCGCCGTCATTACTGGAGCAACAGGTGGCTTTGGAAGCTTGATGTCGAAGGATCTGGCGAACAGGGGAGTCCGCGTCATGGCACTCGACGTTCGTGATGAGCTGCCCGCGGATATGAAGCACCCCAAGATACACTACTTCAAGTGCGATGTGACCGATCGTGATGCGGTCGCAGAGGTCGCCAAGCAGATCCGCCAACAACACGGAGACCCTTCCATTCTGATCAACAATGCTGGAATCTCGGGCGAGGGTCCCATTGTCGACCAGACCAAGGAGTCTCTGCGCAAGATCTTCGATATCAACGTCATCAGCCACTATTACACCGTTCAGGAGTTTCTCCCGGCCATGGCGGCGAACAAGAAGGGGCACGTTGTCACTGTTGCCTCCATGGCTTCCTTCGCAACCACCGCTGGAATTGTGCCATACTCAAACACCAAGGTGGCCGCGCTGAGCTTCCATGAAGGTCTTCAACTCGAGGCCAGAGTCTTCCACGACGCTCCAGAGATCAAGTTCTCGTCCCTCCACCCCTCGTTCGCTTCGACGCCAATGGTTGCACCACATTTGAAAGAGCTTGAGAAGGCAGGAGCTGCGGTGTTGAAGCCGATTGATGTTTCCAATGCTGTTATCAAGCAGATCGTAAGCGGCAGAGGCAAGCAGATCATTCTGGCAGGAAATCTGGGACCAGCTGTCTACTTGAGGTCGTTTCCACACTGGTTGTCGCAAGCAGTGTTCCAGTTGGGCGATCTTCAAACGAAAGTAAGTTCGACAATCAAGTGTTTCCACCGTGCTCCACTAACAATATGGCAGAAAGCCCTTCAGAACAAGTTTCCAAAGAAGCAGTAGGGGTTGGATGAAGCGTGCCCTGTTGTTGCAGGAAAATCGACAGCATACCTTAGACGACATACAGTATACAAATCCTAGCAGTTTTAATCTCCACCGACGCATGATTTTGGGACCCTGCCTCACTGCCATGTCAATTTTCACACTGGTAATTCCGGAATTCCTTCATCAACGGGCTGTCTGGGCTCGTAAATGGTTTATTGCACGGCGACGCGTCGAGGACCTTTTTTCGTAACGCGTCGCGCAAGGCTTTCGCGTATAAGCTTTTCAACATGTACGGTGGTCTTTTAGCGACTTCCCTGCAACAACCCATAAATAGCTTTTCAGAATGCACTACTACTCTTAGCTTTACCTCGGCGCCGGAGTTAGAGTATTGCAGCGTTTCCTACGCTATTATATCGTATTATATATAAGGTTTCGATATAGCAAGAGTGCTAGGCTATATAATAGTATCGTAAAGATTTGTTCTAGTTACCGTTAGTATATCGACACTCTTATAATTTTATCTAAAGGCGTTGCCTTGTACCTATTGCTTATCTCTTTTCTGTTTACCTATATAAAGCGTAGAGAGAAGAAGGCGCAAGCTAAGGTGTAGAGATGTCGTAAACTAGTATATGTTATATAGTAGTATGTTCCTCTAAGAGCTATAGCTTAATCTATATAATAAAAGGCAAAGGTGCGATATAAGTATATCGTAAATCGCAAACGCTAGTACAATTCGAAAGCTATATTGCATACTAATTAAGAGGGAAGTCCGTTAAAGGACCGGATAAAAGTGTTATATAAACTCTAGCTAACAATTCTAGATAGTAACGCTATCTACAGTTAACGTATACCCTACTCTTAACGGCGCTTTAATCGATTACGCGTACGATCCGCTAGTAGCGCACTACTAGGCTCGGAAGTAAGGGAAATCTAAGAATAGCTACGCTTATAACTAACCCCTTAGGGAGGGGGGGGGGGGGGTCCGCGAAGAACCTCCGCCCTACTTAGCTAGGACCGAGAAACGCTATATATTATTATTATCTATTATACGGTAGAAAGGGTAGTACTATAGCTACTTACCTCTATACGAGATTACTCTAGTCTCTAAAGGAATAACTCCTTCTTCTAGCGGTCGTCGGTAGGTTCTACCTTAACTACTAGTTCTTCCTTAACTACTAGTTCGGGCTTAACCTATACGTACGTTAGTAGGTACACTATTATACGGAGGAAAGGGTATATAAACTATAACGTTCGCTAAAAGATAGGCGTCGCTTTCGTCGCTATCGTCCGTAGTTGCGGCAACATCGATGTTATCTAGGTTGTCGTCGGAGGCCTATTAGGAATTAGCATAGCAACTAGATACATATTATACAGGTAATACGTATAGGTTTCTCCACCTTCGGCTTCTCCGATCGGGCTTTCTTCTTTTTCTTCTTGTTATTACTAGCGATAGCTTTTTTATAGAGCCTAGCTACAGCCTTAACGAGCTTCTCTTCCGCTACGGCTATATATAATAGGGAATTATCTACATCGTATTAGCTAGGCCGCTTAAAGACTAAGAACATCCTATACGTCTTCTTCGTTCCTTACGGGAAGATACGAGCGAGCCTCGAGCCTTCGTATTCCTTAAACACTAGTTTAGTAGGCCTATTACGGTTATTATACTACTTAGTTATGTATATAAGGGTGTTATTAGGGTAATCGATCTCTAACTTTATACCTAGTAAATACTTAAATAGTTGCATTATAGCAGCTATATAATCGAACTTCTAATTAGGTACTAAGACAGTTTGAGGTTGCCCTATTAAAGTTAGTAATTGTACACTAGTATCTAGAACGACGAAGTCGCTAGCAATAAACTAACTACATATATACCCTTCTTCTTGTTTTAAAACTTCGGTATCCTATCGGGGTCCTTAGGTAATATCGTGTACCTAGCAATAATAATAGTAATAGTTATCCTTACCTATATAAAGGAGCCGGATGCCGTTCCCGCTAGTTCCTTAGGCCGAAGGCTAATTAGGAGGTTACCGGCGTCGTACTCCGTCTTTAGTAGGTTCCGTATATAGTCGGTATCGATCTTCCGCTAGCGCTTATTTATCGAGCGCCTATTATTTAGACTAGTATTGTTTAGGTAATTGTTATCGCCGTAGTTCTAGCCTGTTCTAACTAGCTTATCGTCGGATGTTTCTATATTAGAGGCAATCTCTATAGGGGTAACTCTAGGAGGGATTCCGGCGCCGTTAAGGCGAGGCTAGCGTACTAGCAGCTACGTAGCCCGCTATACAAAGCCCTTAGAGCTGCTTACAACTAGCGGCGTTAGATTATAGAGCTTATAGAAAGGGCACTTAATATCGTTACGTAGGGTTTCGCCGTAATTAAAATTATTACGCTCTATACATATTTAAGGCTATAGCTTCTTCTGTTGCTTCTTATTGCCTATCGTTCCTCCGTATAAAGCGCTTCGGGGTTCGTAGACGGTGTCGCGATCGTATAGGAGCTATAATAGTAGTAGTAGCCGAGTCGTAGACCGAAGAATAGAGGGAGGGTAGAGATAGTAGGGTCCCGTTTATAGCTT